TAATAACTACCTGTAATAATTATTATTAACAATTGTTTTATTATTAATAATAATTATTATTATTATAACAACCATTACTACTACTACTAATAATAATTGTTTGCACCACCATGTGGCAGAGAGGAACAATTAATGGCAAATCCTTTGCAATTATGGCAACAAGTGACGAGGGAGCATGGAGCCGGCTTGCCGGGCAGTGTGTAATGACGCGCTGCCCGGTTTCCTTATACAGGAAGTATCGGGCTAGGCATCGAAGCATTTGTGCGAGTACGAGTACTGGCATCAAGTGACGAGGGAGCATGGGGCCAGCTTCCCGGGCCAATCAGGAAGCTGGGCAGTGTGTAATGACGTGCTGCCCGGCCTCCTTAGACAGGAAGTATCGGGCTAGGCATCGAAGCATTTGGGCGAGTACGAGTACTGGCAACAAGTGACGAGGGAGCATGGGGCCAGCTTCCCGGGCCAATCAGGAAGCCGGGCTGTGTGAAATGACGTGCTGCCCGGCCTCCTTATACAGTAAGTATCGGGCTAGGCATCGAAGCATTTGGACGAGTACTGGCAACAAGTGACGAGGGAGCATGGGGCCGGCTTGCCGGGCAGTGTGTAATGACGCGCTGCCCGGTTTCCTTATACAGGAAGTATCGGGCTAGGCATCAAAGCATTTGGGCGAGTACGAGTACTGGCAACAAGTGACGAGGGAGCATGGGGCCGGCTTCCCGGCCAATTAGGAAGCCGGGCAGTGTGTAATGACGCGCTGCCCGGCTTCCTTATACAGGAAGTATCGGGCTAGGCATCGAAGCATTTGGGCGAGTACGAGTACTCGCCCAAATACTCGATATCGTCACCGATACCAATACTAGTATCGGCATCGGTGCATCCCTACTTCAAACTTTTTCTTTAAGATTTGGATATAATAGGGAGGAGTTAGAACCTCTGTCTGTATATTATTGCTCAGGCCATGGAAATACAGAAAGGAGCGCAAAACCATAAACAGATGAAGGAGTCCAAAGTTACTTTAATTGGTGGTAAATGGGTCATAAAAAACAACCAACGCATTTCAGGGGCTAGACCTCCACCCCTTCATAAGGATTCAACACAGGATTAAAACTGTCTCATGTAATAGTTGCTGAGCCGCAATAGAGGCCGATCACTGCTCTGGAACATTACATTGTAATCCACAAAGAGAGTTTAATTCCAGATACAGATCTATGTGGTCGCTGAGTCCATTTAAGGTTTGATTCTGAGTTGATCCCTAATGAAGAAGTAGTTTGACCCCCGAAACGCGTTGGATGTTTTACATGACCCATTTACCAACAATTAAAGTTACCTTGGACTTTTATTTGTTTTCTGTATTTCTTTGGTCTGAACTACTGTCGGGTACCTACGGGGGAAAAACTTGATGTTTGGGAGTCGCCTTGCCGGAGCTATTAGGCTTGTTTAAAATTTTCCTCCAACAAGTCTGGAGATTTTTACTATTGTCTGTGATTCACCCTCGTCCCAGTGGCCATTGTCTCTGGTACAGAACTGATGGGAACCCCAACATTTTTGAGCTTTCACAAGAACAGGGCTTGAGTAGAATTCTTCTAGTGGGGAAACCTGATCTTAGAGCTGTCTAAGAGGGTATTACCCTCTCATCTTATTTCCTGTTGTATTTCTGGGACAGGAAGTAAAAATACATTTCTCACAAAAGGAGACAGACAGCCTCAACAAAAGTCATATGCAGCAGTTCCAAGCCGCCACCGTCGTCATATAGAGTACACGGCTCCTTCACAGATATGGCCATCACAGCTCAGCCTGGCCAGCTTGCTCTGCCGTTTTCACTGGTCCAATAAGAATCGGTCCCAGTATTGTTCCACATCATATATCTACCCAGCTTTTATGGGTCTTACCATTTCTTTCGCTGTTAAAACTATATATAAAAAAAGTTTTGACAATACATACACTTTACAATAGTCCCATACACCAGAAAAGGACAAGTTAGCACAACCACCTTAGAGTTATGTCCTGGTAGACAGGGCCGGATTTATCACAAGGCCAACCGAGGCCCCGGCCTCAGGGCAGCATGGAGTAGAGGGGCAGCAGAAGTGTGGTATTCCTATCTCCCGATGCTCGGGACATGCAGTTCTGGACGCCGGGCGGGTAGTTGTTTTCTACATTTATCCCTGCTTTGGGCAAGTAGGGCTACATGTGGAGGGGGGGGGGGGGGCAGGCGCCTCT